CTGGTATGGCTCGAGGGTATCAAATCCAAGAACCACATCACCCAAATTCCCTACAAAAGATCCAACCAAAAAGAGAATCAAATATCAGTATAAAACGCTGAAAACAAAAAAAGATCTGAATTTTCTGTATATATCAAGAAGAATTGAGAGATCAGAGGAGAATTTTTAGAAGAAAAAAAAAGGTACCATCTTTATCTGGTACAGACAAGGAGAGAATGGTGCAACCCAAATTGGAGACTTTAACTTGCATGCTCCCATTGTTGAGTTCGTAGATTTTGGGTTCTGCCATTACTGTAAAGATTATAGTTTTTTTGGTACTTGAATGAGTAGTTTTTGCTGACAACTAAAACTGAAAGAGGTATATATAAAGGACAAAAGATACAGAGAAGCAGAGCTTTTAAGGTTGCTGGAATCTGTTGGTGGTATTGTTTTCCCTTTTTTCTCCTTCGTTTGCCCGTATTATTATAGTGCTGACATGAGGACAACGTAGTAATTTCGAAACATTAATTACGTCAGATCTTTTGCAAGCGTGTTTGGAAGATAAGATCAATTTTTGATTTTGTATTTTCTTTCTACAGGATGGTGTTTATCCATTGAATCAAGTAGATTTATAACGTCTCATGGATTTTGAGATATAAAGAGATCTTCTATTGAGGGAATACCTCCTTGATTTGCTCTAATAATGTTTTTCCAAGTTTTGAAACAAGTTGTCTTCATAAATATTAATGGGAATTGATAGTGAACGCTAGTTTTTTCTTTTTTCCTGAACGTACTGGCTTATACGTCCGGTTGTTTATTCAAGATTCACTCAGGTGAGGGTTTAATTTTGAAATGCCAAAAAAAAAAGAAGAGAAAATTAATAAGAGCCGGTAACATATAGGCAGAATACATAGTTTACCCATTGACCTTGCACCCAAATCCCTGTTACACACCTCTCTATCAAGGGCAACCTTTTACACACCCAACCTTTTAAAAATGTGTCAATGACACACCACTTCTGTGTTTGACCACTTTTTCTAAACAAGTGTGTGTCACGCATGAATAAGGTTGTGACACGTGTCACTAACTTAAAAGTAGAAAAATAAAAAGAATCCATCCAAGTTTTATTGAAAAAATAAAGAAAAAGAAAAGGACTCCCCACCCAACTCGTCGGAGAATCCACCTCACCCAACTCGTTGGAGAAAAACTAAACTAGCTCTCTGCTCCCCCATCTCTCCTGCGCATCATCGCAGGTGACCACCACCACCATAGCTGACACCACTCATCACATCACCTTCACATCCATTGAACCAACAGCTTAAAATTATAATTCGATTTTTTTTACACAGGTTTGAATTTTGACAAACTCAGCAGCTGATTCAAAAATTTAAGTCAAATAACTGTTAACATCAATTTCAGAACAACAACAACAATTTTATTCAGTAAACAAGCTCAACAATTTCCAACATTGTTGCGAGATTACTCCGCCAAACGCCGATTCGAAAACTCAAGAAATCCCAACAATGGAGGTTCAAAACTTACTCCTCCCAAATGATGATTCAAAAATTCGACACCACCACAAATCGTCGAAATTTTTGAATGGAAAAGGAAAAGATAGAGAAGATGACTAAATTACCATATTTGATTGAATATTATGGTGTAAATTTGTAGATTGGGCTTTATCTTCTTTACGGTGAAGCTGTCGGTGAATTAGACCAGATGGTCTTTTCCTTTTCTTTCTCTTGTTTTTTCTTTATTTTTGTGTTTGTTTTTAAAATAATTTCCATTTTGGTTTAATTTTTGATAGATGGCACTTAATTAGGATTCTGGACAAAATGTTTATCTTTCTCGCGCTCTTATTTTTTGTGTTAAACACACACATGCCAGCTAAGCAAAATGGTATGTCATTGACACATTTCTAAAAGGTTGGGTGTGTAAAAGGTTGCCCGTGATAGAGAGGTGTGTAACAGAGATTTGGGTGCAAGGTCAATGGGTAAACTATGCAATATATGTATATATATATATATATATATATATTTGTTTGACCAAAAAGTATTAGACTTCTTGTTAAACTAACTAATGAATAGAATAGAGGATAGATCCTAGCCAAAGGTAATTAACTCTAGATCGCAGCGTATTGAGTAAAAAATTGGAAGAGAATAAACTAATTTAATATATCTTGAGATAGCTATCATACATTAAGTGAAAACGGTAAGCTTACATCTGTGACTGACTTGGATTACAGTGGAAGGAGTATAAAAGATGAGAAGGAAGCTGTAGATAACTGAGGAATCTTCTCCCCTTGGCTTCATAGTATTGTGCTTGTTAGTCATAGCCAACCCCCTTTTTACAGTTCCCTCCCTCCTTTTATATATCAGCAATGTTCCCTTTTATCAAACGGTCTTTGACCAGTCTCCTTTCCCGCGACAGTCCTTTGTCACTTATCCAAGACCGTGCGCTTATCCCGCAATGTAAGCTTTTTGATGACCTGACCCTCGACAGGGACCGTGGGACCCATCGCCATTACGCCTCGTGGGCACGGCCCTGACGGGTCGAACTTTTCTATCGCCTCCAA